CTGGGGACCCAAGGTTAGGAAGCACTGTTGTACAGAATCAGCATAATACTAGACATTCTACTGGCCCTGGTTTGAAAATCTGGTGACCACATTTAATACATATTACATCCACTATAATGATATTTCAGTAATTGTCACATTGTTGCTAAAAGGCATTTGTTTTAGCAGAAAAGTGACATAGGTTTGAGTCTGGATTAATCATTCTTAAAAATTATCTCGCTTGTACTGTAGTTGAAAAGATAAGGGTCGTGTCAGCAAAACTGTTTTTTTTTCCATTTTCAAGAAAAGTAATTGGTATCTCTACATGGGAGGATATGTTGGTGACTGGTGGAAGATCCTTGAGAGATATACAAAGTAATGTCAGATCTTAGTTCTATCGAAATCAGTAGAATTCCCATTGTACTTTTAAATGTTATATTCAGGGAACATATGCGTGTTTTAAATTACCTGTTTGCATTCACATGTTTAATCCATAAATGTTTCAACCCATCTAAGTTATGTATAAATCAGCGTAACTTGGATACATAGCTAATAATAAAATCTGACTAATTTCCAGGAACCTAGTTTTACAGTCTTGTCATCTGCAACACAAGCAATTAAGAAATCAAAGATACAACCAACATTCATAAAATGCATCTGGTGCTTTGAAAGAATGCTGAGAACTCAGCACAAGATTAAGAAAATGCTTTTTGGAAGAAACAGGAATACAACATAACCTAGGATCTCAAGCAGAATAGGATACATATAGATGAGGCACTAAAACAGCACTTAGATTTGTGCATGTATTTGTGGGTTCCCCCCACAAAAGAGGACATTACGAATACTAGTAAAATTAAAACAGGAAGTGTTCCAAATTGAACTTTTGCTGTTTCAGCAATTTTAATGAGAAAGAAGAACAAAATAGATAATCTGTTACATTAATTGGAAAAAATATATAGTTCAGTCTGGGAAGGTTTAAGATTGCAGTCCTGTTTACTTTTGGGAGTAAGTCTCATTAAGATCGTTGACACATACATTGTAAACACAGTTAAGCTCCACAGGGAATGAAAACTTGTACTGTGTTCTCCTAAGTCTTGAAATATTTCCTGCCAGCTAATTGCAGTTTATTGCAATAAACCTTGGACCTCAAACAGTAACTTTTTCCATCTTAAAGTGGGTTGTCCCATTCAAGTGAAGAGCATGTTTTCTGAGTGCTAAATGATATTACTACCAATGGAAACTATGCTGCAAGAAGAGTTGATAAAGCAGCTGCTTGTACAAACCTCAGCTGTTTTTTCCATCCTCCCTGAGCAAACTTAATTAGCATAGGGAAACTGACTAATGTGTTTACGTCATCTTTTTCCAGCATAAGCTTACATTTTGTCCCTGACTGCCTGAAACCGTGTGGCCAGTCTTTGTTCAGGAATTTGCTGTCGCATACAGGATGCTCTGACAAAAAAATGTTTTATTCTTCTTGAGGGGCTGGACTTGTTCCTTTTAAAAAGCTGTCTCTATGCTACGAAGTGGCTTCTTCGAAAAAAGTGTTTTCCTGGTCTTGTTCTGAGCTCATAGAACTCTTTCAAAGCACAAGATGCATTTTAGGAATTTTGATTATACCTTTGGTTCCTTAATTGCTTGTGTTGCAAACAACAAGATTTTCGTTCAACCTGAAATTAGGGTAAGGCTTTCGGAATTATGCTTTGTTTTAATGACAAGAATGTATTTTAAAAATAGGAAAATATGGGTATGTTCATATCAAAACTATTTAGAGAGGCTGGTGTGTTTTCTATATGCCTTAACTATTATCACTGTTCTAATGGGAGTGTGACATCTTCAGTATATTTTTAAAATACTTTTTGTTATTTGCCTGTAAATTATGGAATGTTTCTGTTTGTGAATTTGAACCTTTTAATATACACACAGGCAGCTTCAGATTGAACATGGGATAACAGTGATATCTAATTCAATGACTTATTGGCAGCATTTAGGTAGAAATACAGTAAAAGACTAGTAGTACAGTCCTGTATATGCTCAGAAGTAAGCTCCATTGAATGAGCCTTATTTCCCTTGTTTAAATGTGTTAGGGTACAGTGTACAGTATTAATACAGATTCTTCAAGCAGTTTGAAAGTAATGATAATCTCCTGAATTTGCTGGGCATGTGTGTTTGATTATATAGATATAAATGTTTCCATTTAAAATAGAAAGTACTTGGAATATTCTCTAGGTTTTTTCCCTTCTGAATTCAATCAAATGTTCAATACTTGTTTCTGTTCCTGCTAGTTCTTCAAACACAGTTAATTTTATTTTTATTTATTCTGACTCATTTTCTCTTTTATCCTATCCATCATTAATAGTAGGGCACCAGAATGCTGTGAGTGAAAGCTAACAGTGGGTGGGAACTTTGGATGGAACTTGGAATAGTAATCATTCCTTGAATCTCTTTCTGTATTACTTTGGCTGGGAAAGTATCAGGTTGGTGGGTGGAGTCATTGTAACTTGTTCAAAATTCCCTATTTCTCCTGTTTGAAAATAGTACCAAAATAAAAAATGCTTTATAAAAATATATATTTCTACATAAAAAGAAACACAGACTTTTGTATCTTTAAGACCAAAGAGTCAGCTTTTAGCTAATAACTCTGCATTTTGATGTATAATTTTTATAGAATGTTCATGTGTTGCACAGTTATTCAAACAATATCATTTAATGTGTCCTCTATAGTAAATGTTACACTCATTTCTGGAAAAACTAAATAGAAGACTCAGGCTAGAGTGGCTAAAGAACAGTTGCTTCCTTCTAAAGTGCCTTCTAGTGTCCTCATTGTAAATGATTCCTGTGTTTTAAAAAAAACTATTCAACTCAAAAAAATTAATTTCTGTTGGATAATTGCCTGAATGTTCTGCTAGTGCAGATGCTAAACACAGCCTGCATCTTAGTATCAGCATTTTATCATGCTTGAAGTCATTGAATACCCTGCAGCCCGATGTAATTACATTTTACGTGTTAAAGAAACCACTGAGTTTATTAAACTGGGATTTATTCTAATGCAAAGTTCCAGTTTGGGAACTAAGCTAAACATGGGAAAGTAACTACCATACCAGTGTCCCAACTACATTTTTTTTCAAACTACATCCCTCCCCCAAATCATCTTGGTATTATATTTATCTTCAAAAGGGAAGCATGTTGTTCTGGAAGCATGTCATCTTTACATACTGCACACTGCACCCTAACTAGAGATGGGAGTATTCGTATTTGTATAAAAATATTCCCGCAGAGGTGGAAATAACAAGGGTTGGGCCCCATGGGGTCGGACTGTCCACTCACGATTTTGCCGCCGCCACTGGCTCCCAACATGCTGTTCTCCGTAATGGATTAGCCACTGTCCGACCTAGCAGAGAGACTTGTCATCCCTCCTCCTGCCAGGACTTGGTAATTGACTGTGGACAACAGCACGATAGGAAGGTCCGACGAGCTCACGTCAGTGGCAAAATCATGAGTGGACAGTCTGGCCCCATGGGGCCAAACTCTCATTATTTCCACTTGTGCAGGAATATTCATATACAAATACAAATACCCCCATCTCTAACCCTAACACATTTAACTACATTTATAGTTGTTTGTGTTCACTAAATACAGTCACACCCTGTGTTTCTTGATGCGAGCTGCTTCTCTGATAACAGCTACATGACAGATGAGCATTCAGCTGGTACATTTTATTTCTAGCATAGGATTTTAGGATGGAGAGCTGGACCTGTTGAAAATTCTTCTGTTGTTCAGCTGTTCAAGTCACAAATCTTGTGTCAGGGAAAGCAATATCTATTGCTGATATATATTAATTGATATTGTCTCTCATCTGATATACCTATCTATATGCTTCAGTGCTGTCTTATTGCTTAAGCCAGTGCAGGTTGAATTCTACCTTTTAGTTGTGAATATTTGCAGTGCAGCATAATTGAAGTTTAATCTTCTGAAGAATGATTTCTGCTTAGGAGTTTTTGTTTTTTTTAAAGAACCCCCCCCCCTACCAACCATGTACATCGAAGCTGAGCACAGTACAGTCAGTGGGCTTCATATGGCTGTTGAGCCTAGTCCTTCTCCCATACCTCTCCACATCCCCCCAATTATTTTCCTCCAAAATACAAAATGCATGGGGGGGCCCCAAAAAAAGTCTGTGCTTTTGGAAGTAGGTTGGTCAGAAGGGATGTGCTACTTTCCAGTGCCAAAAAGGGCCCTCAGCCCCATGGAAGTTGTTCACCCTAGTATACTTGATGTTTTACAGAAACCAGATTTTGATTGGTCCTTAACCAAGGCTTACAGCATAAGCCATTTTAATTTACTGGTTCTTATTTCATTATATAGCTGTAGATATGGAACAAATCATATTTTTTCTGCACATTCCATCTGCAAATTAAATCCATGAAAAAGGTGTACAGTATAAGTAACAGAATATTTGTTTTCCTTTACTGATCTTATAGTTTACCTATTGAGACACCAGAAAAGTTTGCAAGGAAATCAGTCCAGCAAAACAAACAAACAAACAAACAAACAAACATATAGCATCAGTGTGTAATTAGAATCTTACTGCAAGGCAGCTAAACTTAACATGGAAACGAGGGAAGCTATATCCCTTGAAAAATATAAATAAGAAAAGAGTGGGTCAGAGACATTCCTCAAATTAAAAATACTCACAGGAGAAGGAGGATCATCATTATTAACTGGAAAACTGATTCACAATCTGATTGAATGCAGATTTCCTTGCAACAGGGTAGCAAGAAAGGGAAAGATTGTGCTTTTATTATTTAGAACCTGAAAGCTGTTCAGAAGTGCATTTGTGTTTTGATTTTGGAAATATGTATGTGTTGATGTTTATGGAAATCGTCTGAGGGACCTGGGGTGGGTAGGCATATAGAGAACAAGGTTGAGAATCTCTGTAAGTATTCCTTGCTGTACTTATGAATCTACAGGTCATGGCAAGGCAGGAATATTTAATAATTTACAACATTTGCCTTTTTATCTTTCAGACTAGATTTGAAGCCCTCTTTAGAGCTCATGACCAAGATGTCACCTTTCAGTATTTTAAGAGTTTTAAACGAATAAGGATAAACTTCAGCAATCCTTTATTAGCTGCTGATGCTAAAATTCGATTAAATAAAACAGAATTTCTTGGAAAAGAACTAAAACTGTTTTTCGCCCAGGTAAGACAGCAAAACCTATTTGGTAAAGTTTTGTTTTCATTCATGCTTCTTCTGAACTTAGCGCAGTTGTAAACAATCAGTAATGTTGTGAATTAGCTTATATTGAGTGGTCACAATTTGCCCGGTTAGCCTTACAGGTGAGTGGAAACATCAACCCAACTTTCCATATCCAAAATATATAGCCAAGTTACAGATTCTTTTGTTTTGTATTAATTCTCTTACCCTTATAGGCTCACTTTACAACAGTTTGAACTGCTGTATTATAAGACTTGCTAATTTTTCTATCTGTTTAAAGAGCTGCCCAATTCAGACAAGGATTAGTGTTGAATGGTCCAATTTAACATATCTAATTTTCATTCCCACTGGGCAGTGCTCCTCTCTCTCTCTTGTGACTTCTCTCCTGCATGTGCAAGCAACTCTGTCCCCCCCCACATGCACGGGGTTCGATCACGACAAACCCAAGGGGCTGCATGAAGGAGGAGGAAAGCTGCGCAAAGGGAGGCAGTCACGAGCATGCACCTTAGAGCACTGGTTCTTAACCTATGGTTACTCAGGAGTTTTGGACTGCAACTCCCCCCCCACATGCACGGGGTTCGATCACGACAAACCCAAGGGGCTGCATGAAGGAGGAGGAAAGCTGCGCAAAGGGAGGCAGTCACAAGCATGCACCTTAGAGGGAACCTTGGTCCAGTGTCTCTAAAACTGCTGGTGATGTTCTTAGAGGTTTATATAAGTGATTTTTTCTGATCACCATTCCCCAACTAAGCTGTGCAGAGATCTGATATTTGTCCTCCTACTTTGGTGTGAAAGTTGTGTTCTGAAGTAACACCAGTCATTAAGGATTACTTAGCAGGTCATCTCACTAACAGATTTTGTAGGCTTTCAGAAGATGAAATGAAGAACTGCCTTATGTCATGACTTGACTTTTGACCTAATCAGTATTTTTGTAAGTTTTTTAACTGTTGCATTTATGGCCATAAATTCTATTAATTTGCTGACTCATGATACAATGATGTTAATAGAAGTTTTACATTCTTTTAAAACAGGATTAGATAAATGTATGGAGTACAGTTCTGTCAAAATAGTAAATACCAATGGTGGGAGTGCCATTATCTTCATTCACTGCTTGCAGGCTTCCCAAAGCTATCTTGCTAACCACATTTAGAAACAACACTTAGAAACAACATGCTAGATTTGAAGCCCTCTTTAGAGCTCATGACCAAGATGTCACCTTTCAGTATTTTAAGAGTTTTAAACGAATAAGGATAAACTTCAGCAATCCTTTATTAGCAACCTTCTCCAGTACAGTGTGGTTGTAGTTTTTGGAGTCTCATCCTCACTAGCCACTGAACGTGCAGGATAGAGCTATGGAAGCTTTAGTCCCAAATATCTGGAGAGCAGCACAGTGATGAAGGCTTAGCTAGATTCTTGATCTAACTTAGTTGAGCTATTTTTCTGTTCTTAGTGGATAAGCCATTTTTCTACCTCCAACCCCATGCAGTACAGACTGCTGTGCTAAATTTGGCAGAATTGGTGTGAGGTTACGCCTGTCTTACTGGAGTTACTTATTAGTGTATATTGGACTATGATTGCTTACTTGAGAATTTGTAATGTGCCTTGGTATATTAATAAATAACAGCATGGCACAGACAAGCTGCATATATTGGCAAGTCAGCAGATCTTTGAATATCCTTTGAGATTGTTGAAGACTTTATTTTACCAGTATAGCTGTTAACTAGTTGAAACTTAAGGGAGCAAAGGCTGATAACAATGAAATTACTGCTGTCTTTTTACACTCTTTAACAAGATCAGCAATTTAACTTGATACCTCTGAGTATTATTTTATTTTTAAAGACTTTTCCTGCATATGCCATAGTTGTGGCTAACATGCTGGCTAGTGTTTCATGGATAAACAGTACTGTATCCCTTTTAATCAGTTTATTCATCAAAACAATACATATCTCATTTAGAATATGTTTGACAGATGCCTGCATTTTCAAGCAACGTTTACAATTTAGTTAAATGTGTGAGCCATGTATTCTATAGTACACTTGATTTGTGTGCCACTCTTCAATTTGTCTGGAGTCTTCAAAAGCGATTTTAAAAAAGGAATCCTTACACAAGATCAATTGTTGCATAACTTCTAAGAACTGTAATTTTTCTGCATACCTGTAGAGGGTGAAACAACGGCATGTTTGAGAACAGCCATGTAGTGAGACACTACATAGGAGAAGTGTAGCACAAAGTTAGCAGTGTTGGGAAGCCAGAGTCTGTCTTACTTATTTCCAGTGTCAAACAGTTGTGATTTTTTCAATAACTATTCTGATGTTTAAGGTCAGAAGCAGCTAATAAACAACAGTTTCTTAAAGGAATGTGGAAGTTGAGTCATGGCAATTTGAGTTCTTTCTTACTCCGTTTCCCTGAAAATAAGACCTAACCTGAAAATAAGCCCTAGTATGATTTTTCAGGATGCTTGTAATAAAATCCTTACCCCCAAAATAAGACTTAGTTAAATGAACTCCACCCTCCATCACTGTGCAGCAACCAGAAGAAGATTACATCACTGTATTTGAATAAATGTAGATTGTTGTATATGAAAAAAAATAAAACATCCCCTGAAAATAAGCCCTAATGTGTTTTTGGAGCAAAAATTAATATAAAACCCTGTCTTATTTTCGGGAAAACATGGTATTAGATTGAAACGTTTCACTACTCATCCAGGTGGCTTCTTCAATCTGAGGAGAGGTGGTAGGAGACCCCTGATAATATCCTCCAAGTTGGTATCACTTCCCCCTATCTGAATAGACTCATTAGATGGACAATGGACAGGGGGTGAGTGAAAATCCCACCTCTGCAGTCCTTCTCCACCCACTGTCATAACTCATTAACAATCTTTAATAATAGTCCTTCTGGTGAGTGTGGTCCTGATCTTTCTGGGAACAGATGAAAGGGCAGCATGATAAATAAGAGATCAATTGTATCCAAGGCCTCCACCCCTGTTGAGTGAGGGATTTTCTATATGCCCATCAGGACCACACTCACCAGAAGGACTATTATTAAAGATTGTTAACGAGTTATGACAGTGGGTGGAGAAGGAATGCAGAAGTGGGATTATTCCTCATGTCCAGTTCTTTGTCTTTCTAACAAGCCTATTCAGACTAGGGGAAAGTGAAACCAATGTGGGGGATATATCAGGGCTGTCCTACCATCTCTCCTCAGACTGAAGAAGCTACTTGGATGAGTAGTGAAACGTTTCAACCTAATAAAGAAGCCCAGTTACCATGACTCAACTTCCAGATACCCTCACCTGGATGACTGAGAATCTTTATACAGATTTCTTAAAGGAAATGCACCAAGGAACTAGTAATGATTAATAAAATAATTTGATGCAAAATTTTGACCATCATCTGATTCTTGATTTGGAAGATGGCAGAATGAAAGAGGTATAGAATGCTTCAACATGGGGTGAAATCCACTTTGGGGCAAACTTGGACTGTTGAAAGGAAACCTTGTTCAACAGATCTGCCTCTTCCTCTCCTCTCATTTGCATCCTCATGTCTCCTTTTTGTGTGAGTGCTGCAGTGAGCACTCCTCTATCTACTTTGGGGTATTTTGTCTTCCCACTGCAGCCCAGTAAGATATATTTTGCAAAGTTCTGATTCCTTAAACCTCTGGAGAGATTTGCGAGAAATGCTGGGGATATGGAGATAAAAGCAAAGCCTTCTGCTTGTGTAAGATTTTTCCACCCTTTGGAAAAGTTGCTGGATAACCCAGAATCCCTTTATCCCACTGGCTGGAGGATTCTGGGAGTTCTAGAACAAAAAGATAACATCCAGGCTTAATATGCCTATGTTCCTGAGGGATTAATGTACTTTTAGAAAGAAACCTGATTCATTAATTATTTGTCAGTGTTATCAGTAGTCTGTTCTATCTTCACCTTGTATATCTGGTTTTGCCACCATGAATATTACTTCAGTACTCCACCCATACCAACTGCACATTCCATATATGTATGTTTTAAAATCAGAATAGCAATGCATATTTCTTTCATTTTATCTTTCCAGTCTTTGCATATTGGACGTTCACACTTAGCACCACCAGATCCAGAAAAACAGTTCTTGATTTCACCTCCATCTTCTCCTCCTGTTGGCTGGAGACAATCAGATGATGCCACACCTGCCATTAATTATGATCTTTTGTATGCAATCTCCAAACTTGGACCAGGTAAGAGGCCTCTGTGCCTGAACTGTGGTTTTCTTTTATAATCAAAGGCCTTCTCAGTCACTGCTCCCAGGCTTCGCAATGCACTGCTCTGAGAAGTTAGGTTTGTCCTCTCGTCCTTCCGTTGTCAGGCAAAGACCTTCCTCTTCAGACAGGCTCTTAAACAATAAATGGGGGTCTAGGGAATGGTCAGTTTACTATACAATATTAATTGTTCTGAGCCAACTTAATTCTCCCTATGGGGAGAAAGGCAGTAAATAAATAAAGTTTTATTCTTACAGTTAACATAGCAGTAGTTTGCCTTTATGTGTTTATATATGTGTGTGGTATAAGTATATCATGTGTGGTCTGAATCAAGAACAGGTTTTATCCTTTCAGAAGTGTTAATCAACTTGCTCATGCTGGTATGTTTCTGTTTTTATGACAAAAGAAGCATGTCAGCATTAGCAAGCTGCAGATAAAACCTGTTCTTGATTCCGGTGCTTGTGTGTGATTAAAAAAAAAAATACTTATCTAGCCTAAGATGTGGTGTGAATTCTTACAAAGCTTCTATTATGGTCTCATTAAGGAATCGCTAATAGACAAGGGATACTCCTGGGAAGTTCAGGTGCACTTAGGAATTCAGGGTACCAGGCAGCTGTGCTCTGTCCTAAGATACTTAATTATATTTCCCATATTTCCCATTATATTAATTATATTTCCCATCCTGATGCTCAGTATTGCATAGGTTATCCGTGGGTTGTTTAGAGTTGGTGTTTTAGCCCTTGTACTATTTTTCCCAATGAAGCAATTTAATACCTCTGCAAACATGGTCATTCTCCTGAACCTGCTTGGGATGGTGGGGCCCATTTTAAATACATCAGACTTGGCACTCACATCTCGACATTACTAATAGAAGGAATGTTTGTGGTCATCCAGTCACTGAAGTCTTTTTGAATTTGCTGATAATGCAAGTGTTCACTCTTAATTACATTTACTTATTAATCTTGACTTTCATTTGCTGAAGATTCTCTTTGGAAAGGAAAATAAAAATATCCTACAACTTCCAAGGATTTAGGAGCTGTTGCTGAAGTTTGAATTCTTTGTTAGAGAGTGTAGTACTGAGATCTGGATTTCAGAAGCCATACTGGGCATAATACATGGAATGGTGACCATGCTTTTCCAGTTCAAAACCACTATTTTAAAAAATCATCAGTATTCTCATTAAACTACTTTGAAGATCTAAAGACAAGCATTAACTCATTCCATTTCCCATTCACCTCGAAGATATCAGGTCCACTTAGGAAAATGTATAAATGCTGATATTCTCATTACCATTCCTGTTAGTACTGCTACTGTTATTTCTGTTTAATTGTCTCATCTCTTTTCATTACTTTTGAAAACATTTTAGGGGACCAGTATGAACTTCATGCTGCAACTGATACTACTCCCAGTGTTGTAGTACATGTGTGTGAAACTGATGATGAACTTGAAGAACAAGAAGAGGCAGAAGCAGCCAAGAAACCAAAACCAAAAATTATTCAAACCAGGAGGCCAGACTATACACCCTCTCACCGAAGCTGAACTTTGTAGAGCTTTCAGTTGCTCTAAACTGGCATGCTGAAAGGAGACATTGAAGAAATGGCAGGTCACAAATTTTATGACATTAGAAGTGAAACAAAAACTAATGTAAAGACACTTTAAGAAAGGGGAATGTCTTCATATATTTGTATGTGAATGCTGCACGTTGGCTAACAGGACAAATTACAACATGAACTTTCTGAAATCTTGGAGAGGAACTAAACATGGTAGCCCTAGGGAGAAAATATATACTGTTTGCATTAAGGGGTTTTTCAGATACTCTAGATTTCTGTTACAAAGAAGCTGGGGATACCTTCCCTGTTTATGTGTATGTCCTATGATAAATTTCTGTAATTCATAGGTTAGACAACATAGCTGCAGTTCTAAAATGTACACATTGGTAATTATATCCCACTGGAATCAGTGGGGCATACAAGTTAAGTGTGTTTAAAGCGGCAGCTTGTATTTGGTATACAATGATAAAGATGTAGTTTTAAAGATGAAGTATGAAATTGTTAATCATTTTTCATATTAGATTCAGTGCATGCATGTAGAACTTTGAAAGTAAGTAGAACTTTGGAAATAAGTTTGTTTAACTTTGTCTGTACTTTCTCATTTTATACTGTTGAGAAGAATGATCTCAAATACTGATTTCTCAGCTTTCTGAATTATGTTTGTATAGGCATTCATTTTTCAGTGGGAACATATTTATAGTAAAACACTAAGTTTGGTGCAATATCCATTTTTAATGTTAACTGCCAATTTATGGTTTATCTAAAAAACTATGGAATACTTACATACATTTAAAATGGATGGATAATTTAAAATTATTCTAAATGAAATTATTTATGTTGGTTTAAACCATCTTAACTACTTGATTGATCAGACGTGCAGGCAATCTGCAGGTGAATGTTGTTGAATTCACAACCATGGGAGACTGTAAACTACTTTCCTAGCCACAAACATGTACAAGTATAACTGTTGTTGTTTAATGTTGTTAATGGTGCGTAAGCACATTTAGTATGTAAACAAATGTGGGCTGTGGCATTTGAGAAGAATGGAGTGCCTTTTTTCTCATGAATTTCAGGTGGGATTGTTGCACTAGCTGAGAACTTTAACTTTTTTAATTGAAAGAATGTTTTATGGAACTGTTTTCTGTTTAAGCATCATCAACCAAGATACAGTCCCCAGTATTAGATGCAAAGCCACAAGTATCCTTTTAGTGCTTTGCTGTAGGAGCTGTTGGCTATTTCCAAAGGCCAGCAGCAAATGGTGTTCAAACACTTTTTGTGTCGTATTCTCAAAAAAGACTTATGCCCATTTAACATCCCATTTCTCATATTTTTTTTAAAAAAACTTCCTTTTGAATGGATTCTTGATTAAGATACTTTTGAGAAATAAATACACTTCTCAAGTTGTCGTAGCTAAGTTAAGAAGTTTCTCTTTAAAAAAAATGAGGTATGTCATGCTCCTTGAATATTTATTTTATTTTATTTTATTTTGAGGGAGAGAGGAAAGTGGGTTATTTACTTAGAGATGTCAGTAGGAGCTCTGTTTCAAAAGAAAAAGAATTTTAAAGAGATTCTTTCCACTAAATGGTCTACCATCCTTCTTGGAACATCCTTCTTGATGCAGTATAAATAGCTATACTGTATAAAGTCAGCAGTACAGAATGTATTCTATTTCTAATATTCTAGCTTTGCCCAAGCTGTGTGTTTAAAAGCTATGAGGCTAATACTTTAACCACAGCAAATGGAGGAACAATATATATTTTGTTTTCTATACAATGATAGTAAAAGCCCTATGGATTCAGAATATTCTGATTTGTATTAAAGAAACACTTAAGGCTATGTAGTCCTTTCATTGAAGATGTCCTCTGCACTTGTTTCTGTGTTTCCTTTTAAAACACAGCTGCAGACCTTGGTTAAATTAGTTCCCCTTCCCACACTCTGTGGCCTATTCCTATATTTTCACTGTTGTAAAAATCCAGTCCACAAATGAATTAAGTTGGAAGACTACAGTATTTAAAATATCTTACATTTGCACATTAAGTACTGCTAAGCTAATTGGGTTTTAATTCAGGGATAACTATTTTTAAATTACCACCCTTCAAACAGGTCTCCTTAAATTCCATTGCTATCAAAGATTAAAGCTGTCTGATTGTGTCCATAAAATCACAGTCTTAGCCCATCTGAATTCTAATGGGCTAAATCAGCTTGAACTTTGATATTTTAGCTGGACTGCTATAGGATTTTAATAGTAACTGTACAGCTACTACTTGATTGCTTTATTCTAAGTAGAGAATACAAGAAAAACAAGCAGAATATTGTATTTAAAAAGCAAAAAGATGTCATTAACTTTCTCCTTAACCCTTGAAAAATAGTTCCCCACTCACAGATGGCGAGGTAACATTTTGAACATTTCCTGTGTGTTGTTGTATTAGTCTTTCACCAAAAATAACAAAAAGTATTTTGGCATCTTAAAGATTAAGTTTTATTTGGCATACGTTTTTGTGGCCTGAATCTGATAAAGTGAACTGCAGTCCATGAAAGAACAGATCAAGTAAATTTTAATAGAGTTAGTAAGATGTTGCCAGTTTATTTTCTGCTTTATATTTCAAACATTGCAACTAGGCTCAGTTTATCCTGCCCTGGATCCTTAAGCAGCTGGCACAGGGCTGTCTGTCTAAAGAAGGCAAGGTTGAGTGCCTTGTTCACTTTTGATAATCTATGAGACATTCCTACCACCATGACTGTATTACCTGTTTAAATTTTCTGATGAATATAATAATACTTTGGGGGTGCGGAAGACCCTCTCTGTGCAGGGGCATTGTTGACTAAAATTCTGTGCCATCCTCTCATGCAGTGATTACTAAAGAGAAGGGGAAATGTTTTTAAAGTGTTTTTTTAATCATGTCAACAAATTTTTGTAATTGGTATCAGTACCATCAGGATTCCTATACTGTACTATGTTGCACTAACCAGCTATATTTGTATGCCACTAAATTTTCCGACTGTTTGGAGAAGGGAGGAATTGGGAAACGAAGTGAAAAGTATACTTTCAACAACTACAACCAGTATTTCCTGATCAGTGTTTGGCACAAAAGGGCAGAGGATGTGATGCCTGAATGCAGAGAAGGTTCTGACTGCCCTGAGATTAGCTGGGAGAGGGATTGAGGCCACCTCTGGAAGTTTGTCACTGACCTACTTCCTTTCTAGCAGTCTGAAATACAGTATGTGTCTTTAGGAAGGTAAACACTTTCCATTTTCTAGAAAATGTTTTTATAAGTGGCTCCTTGGAGGAGAGTTTGAGTCACACGCATTTGAACTTTCTGGAATCCTGATGCACCAAGATATTCTAGAATTGTTTCATTTTGGAGATTTTCCAAAAATCTGCTACTCCTGGATCCCTTGAAGCACGCAAGACTTAACACACCATTGAGGAACTCTTGACTATTCTAACCTCTTTGGTGATTGATTTCCTCTCCCTCTAATTACTCTAAGCTAAACTTTTGCTTGGGAGGGGGACATGTTTTGTATCTGCTACTTATTAAGATAAATTAAAAGTTTGCTGGCCAGAATCTTATTAGTTACACCTGCCAGTTCAGCTCTGTCTGCAAATTGCCATTGGTTAAACAACTCAGCACTGTTTTTTCTTCTCACACTGCAGTCACATGATTTCGCACACAGCACTATCCTGTTTCCCCAAAAATAAGACCTAACCTGAAAATAAGCTCTAGTATGATTTTTCAGGATGCTCGTAATATAAGCCCTACCTCCAAAATAAAACCCAATTAAGTGAAACCCCACCCTCCACCATTGTGCAGCAACCAGAAGAAGACGACTTGACTGTATTTGAATAAATGTAGATTGTTGTACTTGAAAAAAATAAAACATCCCCTGAAAGCCGTAATGCATTTTTGGAGCAAACACTATTATAAGACTCTGTCTTATTTTGGGGGAAACACAGTAAATACACTAGTATATCTCTGCAATAGTATTCCAGTCACCATAATTTTGTGATAGAAAATGTTTTCTTTTAAAATACAATTGATTCTTCTTTTGTTAAAACGGGATTGGATGATAGTTACAGAGAAGTGAGGTGTGAGGATTTCTCAGAAATGGTATGTGCACAAAAACTTTGGAAATCACTGTTTGATAATACGGAGGAGATACCAGTGCCCAGCTCTATGTGAGATTTAACAGACATGACTTCGAATGTTATGTCTTGTATCAGGCAAATTGAGTTTAGGAGGCATAATTAGGATAGAATGTTGGCAGGTTTAGCCAAACTGTGAGCATATCATTGAGCAGAAATTGTACCTGAAGAAAAGTAGGAAATTCAGAAAATGCTACATCGGAATTTAGGATTACTATAAATTGGGCTTCTTCAGTGCTAGGAATTTTTGGCTGGATGGATAGCTCATTAAGTTGAGTACATGGTTGTGGAGCCAGAGGTCAGAAGTTCAATTCCCCATTGTGCCTACTGAGAGAAAGACCCAGCTGGTATTACCTTGGGCAAGTGGCACAATCCCAGTGCTTCTCCAGAAGAAGGAAGTGGTAAACCACAATGGCTAGAATACCGGGAAAGGGTCACCATAAGTCAGAATCAACATGTACGTTTTATTATTATTATTTTGTTGCTCTGCAACTGTGTACTCTAGTCCTTTGTTTTTTTCTGTTCAGATCTCTTCCTTGCTTTTTTAACTTGACTGATTGATTTTAAAAAATAGGATTAGAGTTTTTGTCTTTATCCAGACATGCACTCAAGAATAAGTATGTGCTTCCCCTGGTTTGTTGAAACAGTTCAATAAAAGTTCCAGCAATCAAAAAAAGAGGGGGGGAGTGTCTAAATCCATAAGGTGCCAAGCAGATGTTTAAATTCAGCCTACTGATTTCTTTTAATTACTCCTTGATAAGGATACATTTGTGAAATGGAAAACCAACTTTAAACTTCTGTGTTTTGGTCAGTTACTATGTATTGAAATGTTAATACCTTGTAAGTTCTGTAAAGATGTGTGTTTTCCTGTTGTTTATTCAGTCCACAAACAGTACCCCCAGTCAGAGAGAGAGAGAGAGACCTCGTAAGTTCTGTCTTCACTTTAAAATGATCACTGCTTCTTGTCATATGAATACTCATATGACAGAATGGCATGCATATGAATGGCATTTAATGAAACTGCTTCATTTGTCCAGAAGAGGGAGCTAAATATCCAATAATTTCACAGTGGTGTTTGAAAAATGCTAAAAGCTCTGTCTGTTTAGAATCCTGATAAAGAGCAATTTGTATTGACAATAAGGACATTTTTACAGGCCCAGTTTGACTTTAAATTTGACTTTCATGTAACCTCTAACATCCTGCATCAATCGTCTGAATGCTTCATAATTTTCAGTTCTCAAGGAAACTGACAATCCTTTTGTTGTATCAATTTGTATCAGTTTCTATTATGGTTTTTGTGCAAAGCTTGGAATGGTAGGTTTGAAAAATTGAATCAGCACTATTGATGTTTAAAACTGAGAACACTTGACTTGTTAAATTAATGCCATTAACATGTTAATTAAAATATGTATTAGTTCAGTGTCATCTTTCCAGAGGGCACTTGTCACTTGACATTCACTTTCTTTAAAAAGAAATGGACCTATTCCTCCCTTTGAAAACTAGATATATTAATAATAATAATAATAACAACAACAACAACAATGTGTCATCAAACCAAGTCTGACTTATGGCAACCCTTTCCAGGGTTTTCAAGGTGGAAAAAACTCAAGTGATTTACCATTTCTTTCCTGGAACTGTGCAGCTTGCCCAAGGCCACACAGGCTGGCTGTACTCGGAGGAAGCACAGTGAAGCATCAAACTCCTAACCTCTTGGCTCCACAGCCAGATACCTAAATCACTCAGCTATCCAGACAGCTCAGATTTATATTGAGGTTATCAAAACTCTGAGTTGACACAATCAAGTTCATGGGATTTTTTGAGCTCCATATTTATAAGTCATTGTTCTATAAAAAGCCAATTAAACCCTTACAAGTACATACATTCAGCATACCACAATAAGAAGCACTGACCAAAAGTATAGGTTAGATTGTAAACTGCTTCAAATCCTTCTTATCTCATCCAGGCAGCTACTGAGGTTATTCCCATGACATCTAAATTAATTCAACAGAACTGTCCTACAATGAAAAAAGTCTGGGTTCAGTCTCCCATGCTATTGTTGTTAAATGCCTTCAAGGCAGAACTGACTTACAGCAACCCTAACAGAGTTTTCAAGGTAAATGAGGTATTTAAGAAGTGTTTTTATCAGTTTCATACCCCATTGAATTTATATGACTGGGAGGGGATTCAAACATAGGCCTCCTAAATTCTAGTCTGTTACTCTATCCACTACACCAGTGGTCCCCAACCTTTGGCCTCCAGATGTTCTTGGAATACCACTCCCAGAAGCCTTCACCACCACCTTGGCTGGCCAGGATTTCTGGGAGTTGACGTCCAAGAACATCTGGAGGCCCAAGGTTGGAGACCACTGCTCTACACCACACTGGGTCAGTGTTCCATAGATAACGTTTAATAAAATGTTATTTAGAGCAAAACCACAAACCAGAACCCTCTGTGCAGGCTAAAACTAGAAGGTTTTGCATAGTTCTTCACATAAAGATCTGTGAAGACTGGAAATGAAGGTCCAATTTACTGCTAAAGCAGTACAGGCTTAATTGAACCATCTGGCTTATAAGGGAAAAGTGCCTGTTTGAATGAATCAGAAAATTGCACATTTAATTATCATGAATAATGAAAAACAACAAAGCCTCAAATTGCCTTTGTTGGTGCAAATACAAGGTGGTGGTTTTTTCAGTAATCTGAATTAAGCCGCACATGCTCATTTGTATCTCGCCACCTGCATCAGAAAGGAATGGCTCCAAATACAGTAGGCAATTACTTTTGCTTGTTCACTTCATTTTCTGTTTCACTCACAGTTGCAGCCCTCTGCATGTTGAACAGTTCATTTACTTCTCATTGTTTGGGGTTTGATATTTGACTGTAAAGTCTGTAGATCATGCAGATTCAAGCCTTCGACCAACTGGCCTCTTTTTTCCCTCTAGTGTCATCAGAGAAGCAAGCTTTTGGAGTAGCTGGGAGAGGTCTACTAAATTGTATAGTCCCCTTTTGGGAGAGGGGAGGGGTTGAAATATATCGTGGCCCCTGGTCTGGTAGCCTAAGGATCATAGGACTGCAGTCTAAAAATGGTAAAACTAATAGACATAAATGTCCAAAACTGCCATACATTGACTAATTTTATGATCCATGATGTATACTGTGATTGGGCAATGATATGTGAAGTTGTAATAAAG